AATACTGAAACATACAGTAGTAGAAAGATACAAATATATAGAAAGAAATAGAAACTATTCTGGGAATAGTTGCTATACTCCCCACCCCCACATAAGATTGTTGATCTGAATTTGAAAAACTTAACATGCGAATTCTACTTAATGCTATAAAACCATTAATGAGGTAATCATACAGTCATTTCTAGTAAGAGAGTATTAAGTAGGTTTTATGTGAAATGGTAACTGTATGTGAAGTGAGGAACGACGGTGAGAGACAAAGAGAGAGAGAGATGAGAAGGAAAGAATGACTGTAGGCGTGTAGCATTCCCTGGGAGAGCTCTACACATCTGACGTAATCGAGGAAGGTGGATGCGAGCTTCATCCAAGTTGGATTCGTGTCCTCTCTTCTGTTTGTTAGACTCGGATCGTTCCGATTACTTGAATATTACTATGACGGAATAAGTAGTAGGTGGTGATGATGTCTAGGAGTAGTGAGATTCATGTATAAGAATACAGTAGCGCAAATAGTGAATATTAGTCGTATGAGTCGATGGTATATGTTAGACAATATTCGGTAGGTAGGGCTGTCGAGTTATGATTAGAATGGTCATCATTATACGTTAGAAATTGTTGGAGCTCGTAAATAGCAGTGCCCGTTGCATGTTTGTTATTGTCATGATTAAATGTTCGTCATTAGACTCTGATGATTGAACTGAGTGAACGGTGCGAGTATATGGTCGTGGTCGTAAGTTATAACGTTCCCTCGATTTTTCGTCTAACATATCTTCGTTGTTGATGTCGTGACCTGGAGCCGTATTTGTCCCGTCGTCGACACTCGGAGATTCATTTGGTTGGGTGTTTCCCAGTTCTAAGGGTATAAGTAAATTAACAGGTCTTCTGATGATTCGTCCGTTTGGTAGCTTGACGTGTGCTTCTCGTATGGCTCCACTCTCTGATGGTTGGAGTTTTACGATACGGCTCATTCTCCAGGTATTTCGAAGTAGGACCGGTTCGTAAATTAGTACCACTGTGCCAATCGTTGGAGGGATAGTAGTGCTTCTTTTTTTATCAAAACTAAGCACATGTGTTTCTCGGAGGCTTTTGAGGTATTCTTGGCTCCAAATGGTCCAATACTGTTCCGTTAATTTGTGACTTGATGTCATTGCTGCTATCGCTTGCAGTCTGGTTCGCAACAAACCTAGTTCGTATGGAGGAATATAATCTTCGTCTTTTTGGAGACTTGTGGACTCGAGTGGATAGGTTAATATTATATCTCGTTGAATGAAATCAATTGGTCGCAATATTACTAGATCATCAGGTTTTTCCTCGATGTACGTGAGCGGTCTGTTATTTAGGCATCCCTCGATCTCTACCAAAAGAGTTGTTAATTGCAACGTTGCTGGAATGGTCTTTTGCAACACTTTATAAAGAGAATGTTTCACTGATTTTATAAGGCGTTCATAAAATGCCCCCTGCCACGGAGCATAAGGTGTTATTGTTCTCCATGTGATCGCTCTGGTTGCTAATGCTTTCGTAAACGAGGTATCGTTGGTCATTGGATCAATGGTAGTCCGTAAGATTTGTTCCGCCAGAGTGAAGTTCGGTGCGTTATCGGACGTGATAGTGTTTGGTACACCCCTTCTAGCAAAGAACCGACGAAGTGCTAACAGGAGTTCGTCAACTGTCATGTTTTGAACTAATTCTAGGTGTAGCAGTCTTGTGGCTGTACACGTGAGAATAATTCCATAACCTTTCACTATATCATCTGCATTTTTCATTGACAATGGTCCGAAGTAATCTATCCCAACATGCTCAAATGGTCGTGATCTTACTACCCTTCTCTTCGGTAGGTCGTCCATTGTTGGATACTTATAAGGCAAGTTGTTCATTTTTTGACATGCAACGCATCGCCTTATAGCTTTCCTTGATNAATGTCGTAATGTTGCGATCCAGAATCGTTTTCTAACATTTGCCATTGTTTGGCTGGTGCTACAGTGAAATGGTAAATGTGCGTCGCTTACTATAATTTCGGCTAAGTTTGTTTTTGCTTGTATTAGTATAGGTTGTCGTTCTTCGAAGGGAATGTTTGCTTTATTTAAGCGTCCTTTACAGCGAAAAATTCCGTGTTGATCTTTAACGATACTATAGGGATGAAGGAATCTTTTTGCCATCCCGGGATAGGTGTTTCGTTGATGGTTTCGTATGATCACCCTTAGTGCCGCTTCGTATTCGACTGCCGTAATATATGATTGCGAGGATGCTAACTCGATCTCTGGGATATTGCGGCGAATTCTTTCGCGTAATTGAGATTTCAATTTCGCTGTCACTTTATTAAGGAATCTCAGCACATATGCCACTGCGTTCTGCGCCGTTATTAGTCGATTATGTGCTGACCAATCCAGCAATTCTAGAAGCGGTTGGTCAAAAGTCGTCATTATCGTAGAATTGGGCTTTATTTTCACACTTTGTGGTATCGCAAAGGGCTTGATTTCTATTGGCAAATCTGAGTCTCTAATGAAATCGGGTCCTATCCACNAACAATGGCTCTTTAACTGAGATATACTTAATCCCCTCGTTGCACAATCGGCCGGATTTTGATCTGTAGGGACGTGGGCAAATTGAATGAGATTTTGCAAAGCCTTATCTATTCGACGTATTTCCCTGATGCGGTTTTTTACTAGGACTCCCACTGATTTTCCTAAATTTGGTGATCGTATCCAACTTAGTGCAATTTCCGAGTCAGACATAATTAGTATTATTCGAATAGATACGTGGTTTTTTAAAGCTGTTTGTATTGAGTGGGCTAGACGGACTGCCATAGTTATAGCATTTAACTCAAGCTTTGGAATAGTGGTAACGTAGTTGATTGACTGTAGTTTGGATTTTCCCATAAGGAGAAACGAACGGTTATTTGATACTAAGTAGGCGCAAGTTGCCATACATTCTTTGCTGGCGTCCGCAAAGAGGATTAGTTTGGCCTCATGTCCGAGTTCGGCAACACATCGTGGGATAGAGATTTCAAATCCATTTAGATTTCTGACAATTTTTTCCCATTCGTCGGCATGTAATTTTGAGAGCGGTGTGTCCCACGTATAATCGAGGTTCCACAGCTTTTGAAGAAATTGTTTTCCTCGCATTGTTAGTGGTGTGAGCCATCCTAGTGGATCGTAGATTGCTGCTACCTGTTCTGCTACTGAACGCTTCGTCAGCTTTGATTTGTATGAATATTTGCATGAGAGAAGTAGTTTATCGTTGTCCGAATCCCATTCTATTCCTAGGACCTTCTGTTGGTTGCTTGATGCCAAGTTCTTCGAGGGGATCTGGCGAATGAGTCGTTTATTGTTTGACATAAATTCTCGTAAATTCATGCCCAAATCTTTGAAAATTTGCTTTGATTGCTTAAGCTTGGCTATGGCCTCTTCTAATGACGAACTTGTGATAATAACGTTATCGACATATGTATTGTTTGTAAGTTCGTGGGCCAACGCTGCACTGGACACTTGGGTCTCTAAGTGATGCTTAATTGTTCCTGCTAGTAGGAACGGTGAGCAATTGAGGCCAAAAGTTACCCGTGTGAATCTGTAGGTAACTATGTTTTTTGGCTCGCAAGGTTGTGAGATGTCACGAATCCATAGAAATCGTGTAGCATCTCTATCTTGCTCGTGGAGTCGTACTTGCAAGAATGCTTTCTCTACGTCCGCAATCATTGCAATATTTCCTACGCGAAAACGAAGTAGAATATCGCATATTCGGGGAAGAAAGACTGGCCCTTGGTGCAGAACGTCATTTAATGAGGGCTCTAGTACTGGATGCGCGGATGCATCGTAAACGATTCGTAATTTTGTGGTTTCTTTATGTGGAGTTACCACGGCGTGATGCGGTAGATAGTGAATAATTACACCTTGTTGGCGTATCGATTCATCGACTTCCTCAATAATGTTCTCATTTAGTTGTTGTATTCTGAGCTCCCTGCTTATATATTCATTGATAGATTTTAAAAAATCTTCGGTCTTGTATGTTTTATCGGATTCTCGAGTTCT